ACTGAAAGAAAATAAAAGCTTTAAAAATTTTTCAACAGATTTTGGGTGACACGACTCTAGAAAAGATACTCATGCCAAATCTGGAAGAGAAAATTAAAACCAAAGGAGAAATTATTTCTCCTTTGAAGAGATTAGCAAGAAATCTAGAACTTCAATTTCACACATAGCTCTTTATAAATAGGCATTTTCCTTGTCATAACAGGGAAATAAAGAATTAGACTATAATTAGCTTTTCTGTCCACAGCTTTCGGGCCTTGGCCAAGAACCACTGACTATTAAGTTCTATTCAGCATTTTTGTAAAAGTAATCTGTTTTCCCATTAATCCTAATCAGAAAACTAGTCATATAAATGCCAATATTGATGATTTAAACACTTTCCTCCTAATCAAAGCAAATCAAAACACTCGGGGAACTACAAACCTACCATCACATGTGAAAGTAACAGGTAGTTGAAATCCTTCAATTTCAATGGAGACCTTCACACTAGCATTTTCTCCACATACATTTCTTTGCACTGTGACTGGACTTAACAAATAGCCTGGATTTGTGCAATGATTGAAGTATGGAAATTTGTTCTTCAATCTGTTCACAAGAAAGAAGATATTAAATTCTTTTTTAATAAAAGCTGGACTTGAGAGCCCTGAACAAGGCTTTACATGCTTACAGCCACTCAATTCTGTGTCTGTCCAACTCTAAAGCAGCTTGTGAGAATGGCAATGAATGAACCACTGTCCAAACTCCAAATACCAGCATTTGCCTTTTAAATAAAAGGAATCCAAAGAGAAAGAAGAGATTAACTACTGCCAGGATATCTTTGGCAACATTATCAACATTAGCCAGGCACATACCGGCTAAGTTGTATGAAAAGGGGTTTTCTGCTTCACATTCCTCTGCCATACAGTACCATTACACAAACTGTTACATTTCAATGAGTTACCGATAATATAAGAAACTAAAGTGTAACGACCAGAGGGGAAACAAAGTTTGTTGTCTTCTTAAAATCTGTTTTTTCTTAAGGACCTTTTTGTTAAAAACATTATTTGTGGTTGCTACCCAAGGAAAAAAAAAAGACAATGAGCTTTTGCAGTACTGCAAAGCCTTTCTTCCTGCAGAATGGCATGCAAAGGTATAGGAGCAAGGCAGTCTGCATTTCAATCCACGAGCATGGTGGATAGCTCATCTGGTACACTTGGTATCAAGACAGAGGGAGATAGGTTCGGAATATAGTCTATTAATTTCTGTAGCAATTGAAATATTTAACTCATAGGCATAGAATAAAACAGTTCTGTGATGACAAGAAGAGTTCTGGAGGAGGTAGGAAATGTAACAGTGCAAACACTCTAGGGTCAGATCAACTGAATTTGAATATTGATTTTACCACTACTTAGCTGTGAGAGTTTAGGCAAATTATTCAATGTCCTTGTTGCTTCATTTTCTTCCTCTGTAAACTAGGGGTAGTAATACTTACTCCCTAGACTTGTGAGAACATGCGAATTCCATTACAAAGCAACTAGGATATGGTAAGTACCATATAATAAGTTTGTCAAACAAATGAAATAGTGAATGAATAAATCTGGTTTCGGTGTTATGATCTTAAGCAACACAAAGGATCCAATATTAAAAAGAAATATAATAAAAAAGTAATATATATTTTTTGGTACCAGGAATTGAACTCGGGTCCTTGCGCTTGCACAGCAGGCAGCGAAACCACTGAGCTAAATCCCCGGCCCAAAAAAGTAATATAATAAACAACTGACATATGAACAGACCTTCAGATGGACATTATTTTTAGATTTTTTTTTTGGTACCAGGGATCGAACTCAGGACCTTCCGCTTGTGAGGCAGGCGCGGTGTCACTGAGCTAAATCCCCAGCCCTATTTTTAGATATTTGATTGTCTCTTTCTCCTCTCTCTTATCTCTCTTTCTCTCTCTAAGGATTGAACCCTGGGTCTTTGCACTGAGCTACATCCCCAACTCTTTTTTTTTTCTCTTCTCATTTTTGAGACAGGGTCTCACTAAGTCGCTAAACTGCCCAGGCTGGACTTGAACTTGCAATCCGCCTGCCTCTCAGCTTCCCAGAGTGCTGGGATTACAGGTGTGTGCCACTATACCCCAAAGGTATTTTCTTTTCTACATGTTATAAAGCAGATGCATGCAGCAAATCATGAAATTAACTAATATATGAAATAGTTGAGAATTTTGTCTACCTCCAATAAAGACTTCAATGTTCAGATATTCTAAATCTGGCATAGTGGCCTGTGCTTATAATTACAGCACTCAGGAGGCTGAACAGGAGGATCCAGAGCTAGAGGCCAGGATGGGGTACACAGCAAATTCAAGGCCAGCCTGAAATACAAAACCCTGCCTCAAAAAACAAAAACAAACCAAAAAAACCCACAAGGTGACAAAAGAAACAGAAAAGGAGAAATTCCTGTTGATGGCTCAAAAAACAAGAATTCTTCAGAAAAATTCCAGTGACAAATGTTGCATTCAATGAATTTGGCTTTGCTTTGGGGGAAAATTCTTCACTTTGCTTTCTTAAAGTGAGTTTATTCTTTTACACAACAATGTAAATGTGCCTAATGTCATTGAACTACATACTTAAAAACAGATGAAGTCATAAATTTTATATATCCCCTCCTTGCCCACAAAGTAAAGCTTATTTTTACTTATTATTATTCTTGGTTTTTTGAGACAGGGTCTTACTTTTTAATTCAGGATGCCCTCAAATTCACTCCCTCCTGCCTCACACTCTTGGATGCTTTTTTGTTTTGTTTTGAGAAAAGTATTTTTAAATGAGTCCTTTCTATATCTGTTTGACACTATGAAACCTATCAGTAATTGTTTATTTGTACAGTAATTTGTTCTGTTTTTCTACAAAACCGATGATTTCTCCTATTTTTATGATTTGCTTTATAAAAAATAATAGTAAAACCTAAGCTATAAAAGATTCTTTAAAATTGGGCTTTTCTGGTTTTGTTTATAAACTTTTAAACATAAAAATAGTTCATTTAAATTATTAATTGCCAAGCAAATTATTCATTTTAAATAAAGGACTAGATAAGGTTTTGTGTGCATGTGTGTTATTGAGGACTGGACCCAGAGAGCCTCGCAAATGCCAGGCAATGCTCTATCACTGAGTTCTATCAGCCCTTTTTTAGTTTGAAACAGTAGAACTAAATTGTCCAGATTGGCCTTGGAACTTGTGATCTCCCTGCATCTGCCTCCCAAGTAGCTAGAGTCACAGTCCACCATGGCCAGATAAGATATTTTTATGGCCACTATAAGCCACATATGTAGTCTGATGTTCTTAAATAATAAAGGGTATTTTAAATTTTTATTTTTTCTAAAATTTCCCTTTCTCTTTAGCCCAAAGAAAAGATTTTGTTTGTTTAATGGGACTCTATGGTTCAAGAAATTTAGTATCTTTATGTACACGCTAAACTTCTTGATTACTTATTTTCTTATTTTGTGCTCAGTCAAGCTAAAATTCTGGTCAGACAGCCGAATCACGCAAAATCAAAAGATAAGATCAGGAGAAAAGAAAAAAAGGGGATTTTAAAAAGTTTTAATTAGTACTACTTTACAGGAAATAGAGTATTGTTTAGAATAAGATTTAGTTAATTGCAGATAGTCTTTGGGTTTAAGATATTATACGGTATACATATTAGACCTGAAATATGTTTACTAAATATATATAGAAAGAGGGAGATTAGAAAGCCATTTAGACAGATAGGTATAGAGTGTGATTTCTCATTTTATCCTAAAGGACCACAAATGAAGAAGCAAAACTTACTGGTACTTAACTTTATTTATTTATAATTTTGGAACTGGGAATTGAACCCAAGGCCTTCACAATGATCTATACCCCGACCCTGTTTTTTATTTTGAATCAGGGTCTCACTAAGTCACTGGCCCAGGCTGCGTCCAACTTCCAATTCTCCTGCCTCAGTCTCCCTGAGTGCTGGGAATACAGGCATGGACCACCACAGCTGGCCAAGAAGCAGCTTACTAATAACATAAATACCTCTATATTAGTCAGCTTTCCCACCGCTGGACAAAATACCTGGTTCTCACGGCTGAAAGGAGGAAAGGTTTATTTGGCTCATTTTCAGAAGTTTTAATCTATGGTTGGCTGGCTCCAAGTTAGGCCAATATGGCAGAAGGGCATGGTGAAACAAAGATGCTTGGTTCATGTCCACCAGGAAGCAGAGCAGGGAAACAGTGCCAGAGAGAAAAGGGCCAGAGATCAGATACAGTGCTCTAGGTCGTGCCTCTACAACCCACTCAGACACAGTAAGAAGAGTGCTTTACTAATCCCCTAGGAAACTCCTAAGCCAATCAAGTCGATACTTAATCTTAATTAACAACTTAAATAATAAGCTTAATTAAACAACTTGTTTTTAAAACTCACTGACAAAATGAGCACACTTAGCTATCTCACTTATCAGATGGACTATCACGGTATTGCAGCGCTTATGTTCACATAACCCTTGTTTTACCTATTAATGGCCCCAAAGTGCAAAAGTAATAATGCTGACAATTTAGATATGCCAAAGAGAAATGGTAAAGGGTTCTAAGTGAAAAGGTAAAAGTTCTCAACTTAAAAAGTGAAGAAAAAAATTGTATGGTGAGGTTACTATGAATCATTTACTGTGCCTCATTAAACTTTGTCACAGGTGTGTGCGTTTGTGTGTGTGCATATATATGGAAAGTGTGGTGGATATAGGGTTGGGTATTATCCAACTTCAGGCATCCACTGAGGGTCTTGGAATATACTGCTTCACAGATAAGGGAGGGGACTATTGTCATCACTGTAGCTAAGTGATGATGTCTGTGGAAACTCTAAGATTTGAGTCGGAGACAGGGGTGTATCAAAGAGTCTAGCTTAAATAAAAACAAAACAGTTAACACAATCTAAGTGTACAGGGCTTCTTTGGGGGAGAAAATTAAGAAACTGGGTAAAAATATAACAGATTCCCAGACAAGTTAAAAGATAATCTCTAAACCATTAACTAAAACAATGTGTAACCAAAACAATCATATATACTACCTGAGAAACCCCAACCCTGCTATATTTAAAATAGACCACACTGAGAAAAACACTAGATTCAGAGTAAATCTCCCACTGGTTATTAACTTTCCTTACCTTAGGTAGCAGATTTTATCCCCTTGGGATACAGCCTTGTCTCACCATACCCAGGTTCAAGTTATTTTTAAAATGAGCATTTGACTTAGAGAATCTATAATTAATAAAGAAAAGTTCCTTACTTTGCAATGGATTGACAAAAAGCTGTCATCTCCTCATTCTGTACTTCAATTTGTTGTAGAAGAGAACTTCCAGTTGGCAAACTATTGGTCCCAGGTGAGTCTTTCTGTAATAAAAATAAGTTTTTATTTTAAAGGCGAAAGATCTCTAAAATGCTGTACATTAGCATAGCACAAATATCTTTATGAAAATATATACAAAGTTCTGGAGGTAAAACAAAACCTATCAGAAACAAAATTGTATATTATGTATTTCTATCTTTGTAAAATACCAACTGAGCCTTATTTTAAGTTCATTGGTTTTACTGGCTCAAAAGTAGAAACAGGCAGTGTTAAGCAGTAAGAATGGAATGTTAGAGATTTTTCCATTCAAAATATTCCTGAAATGAACGCTTCAGGACGTTAACAGTTGAATAAAATTAAAGGATACCTTCTATTTTAAGAAAATGAAGAGATCAAGCCAATATGAGACTCCACTAATAAATCAGGGATTCTATATATTCAACTTAGGCCCCATAGTTTAAGAAAATACATTAGGTAAGAAAATGAGTTTTAGGAGTAAGTAGGCATTTTCTCTTTATAAACTTTCATAAACATCCTGTAGTCCTTTAAAAGTTAAATCTGGCCAAATTTTGTTTGTAACATCAATTTACCACCCAAAGATAGCCAAAGAGAAGAATTCATTTAGAAATATTTTGATACACTACACAAAAATAAGTATTTGACTTGGCATACATTTCACATGTAAATTTCTTTTGAAAATAAAATTGGAATATTCTCAATTCAAAACTAAGGAAATAAAAACAGTATATAAATTTCAAGAGTTGTAGTAGATTTCAATGGCCATGGCAAACAAGAACTTTTCAATTTATATTTTTTTGAGACAGGGTCTTGCTTTGTCCAAATGGACTCAAATTTGTGGTCTTCCTGCCTTGGCCTCTTGAAAAGCTGAGAGTATAGGTATGCATCACCACAACCAGCTAAGATTTTGATTAAACTGAAAATTTCGGGCAATTTCTTTACAAGTTTTCTTTTTGTAAAATGTGGCAGTCTTTTCTTCTAGAATAAATATTTGGGAGCATGTGAGGAGGAGCATTTTGAGGGTGGAGAAACCTTAGAGTTCACAACTAAAAACAACAGGGCTCTTGGAAAAAAGGGAGTTAAGGAAGACTTTTGAAAATTATTGTAGAACAACTAAAGTTCTAACTAAAACAATAAAAAGTCCTTATAAGAATATTAGCACAAAATGTCCATTCCAATTTGCACCAAACATTGTGGTTTTTGCTTGGCATGTAACACTGTGGGCCTCTTACTTCCTCGTTTAAAATGGGAATTCTTCTATAAATTTGCTTGGCAACTGCAATGAAGATAAAGTATATTACAAAGTGTAGAAGTCTTCACCCAACCAACAGAAAAGCTCTTAATTCAAAGGGAAATGCTATCATAGCCTCTTGGTCTACATTTGGTATTTTATTAGACTTTCTTTTTTTTTTTTTTTTTTTGAGACAAGGGTCTCACTACGTAGTTCAGGCTGGCTTTGAACTCACTATTTATCCCAGGTTGGCCTTAAACTCATAGGGATCCTCCTGCCTCAGCCTCCTGAGTGCTGAAATTACAGGTATGAGCCATGTTGGCAGGCTTTATAATGGCAAAGTGATGTACTTCAATTATACAGCTACATCTAGTGGCAGGGATTTTTTTGCATTTTTTTATTAGTAGATGTTTGCAGTACATGATTACATTCATCATGGGGGATGTCTACATGCACATATCACATTTTTTGTTTGTTTCCTTTCCCTGCCCTCCCTCCAACCCTTCTTCTCCACATTTACAAAAGCTCTATCTCCATTTTTGTCTTTAAATCTCCTTTCCCTTCTTCCCTCCCTCTCCTGCCATCTCGTTCCCCTTCCCATTTGAACAAGTTATTCCTAATATCTCTCCTCCATTTTGCTTAATATTTACATAGTACTTTGGATTTCTCACACAAGTGAAGTAATACAATATTTAAACTTGTGTGCCTGATTTATTTCACTTAAGACTATGGTCTTCAGGTACATCCATTTACCTAAAAATGCTTCAGGTTTATCCTTCTTTATGGCAAGGTAGTACATAAATACCACATTTTCTTTATTCATTCGTCGATGGCTTACAGGCTGCTTCTGAGATTTGGCTATTATGAACTATGCTGATATAAACATGAGAATGCATGTATCACTGTAATATGATGTGTTTAACTCTTTCAGGATGATATTTAGAAAGGGAATAGCTGGGTTAGTTTTTTGAGGAACCTCCATACTGCTTCCCACAGTGGTTGTACCAATTTGCACTCCCATCAACAATGGAGAAGGATTCCTTTTTCCCTGCACCCTTGCCAGCATTTGTTATTGGTTGATTTCTTTCTCTTTTTTTCCAGAGAGAGAGGGGGCACTATGTAACTCAGGCTGGCCTTGAACTTGAGGTGACCCTCTCCTGCCTCACCCTCCAGAATGCTGGGATTACATGTGTGTCCCACCACTCCTGGCAGTTATTGGTGGATTTCTTGATGACAGTCATTCTTTCTGGAGTGAGATGAAATCTCAGTACTGTTTTAATTTGCATTTCTCAAATGAGGTTGAGCATTTTTTCATATATTTATTGGCCATTTGTACTTCTTCATCTGAAAAGTGTCTATTCATTTCAGATGCACATTTTTGGATTGGGTCTTTAAATTTGGGGGGGTCTGATTTTTTTTTTTAGTTCTTTATATATTCTAGATATTAGTCCTCTGTCTGAGGAGTAGCTCATATATTTTTTTTCCCATCCTGTAGGTTGTCTTTTTACTGTTGGTGGTTTCCTTTGCTGTGCAGAAGCTTTTTAATTTGATGTGATCCCAATTTGATGCTTTGTATTATTTCCTGTGTGATTGGAGCTTTGTTCATAAAGTCTTTGTCTACACCTATGCTTTCAAGAGTTTTACCTATTCTATCTTCCAGCAGATTGCTTGTTTTAATATTTAAATTTTTGATCTATTTCAATTTTAGTTTAGTACATGATGAGAGATATGAGTCCAGGTTCAATCTTTGCCATGTGGAAAGCCAGTTTTCCCACTACATTTGTTAAAGAGGTTATCTTTCCTCTAGCAAAGGTGTTTGGCCCCTTTGTAAGATAGCTGAGTGTGCCTGCAGTTGTTTCTGCATCTTCTATTCTGTTCCACTGATCTACAAGTTTGGGGGTTTTTTTTGCCAATACCATGTTGTTTTTTTACAAAATCACTGTGGCTTTGTAGTACAACTTGAAGTCTGGGATTGCGATGTCTCCTGGCTTTTTTCTAATGGCAAGTTTAAGTCAGAATCCAACATTTATTTTACTCCATGAATGGCCTGCCCATTATTTTATTTACCACTTCCATCCACACTTCTCTTCTGCACTGTGCATTTTTGTCTCAAGTTTTGATGCAAGCCCACAAGCTAACCCTAGCCAAAATTAGTAAAAAACAAATGTCAATGGAGTTTCTTTGAAAAGGGGGAGAGATTCAATGATGATAAAGCAGAAGACTCTATGACTGCCAACAAAAAGAAAGCTGCATTTAAAAGAAAACACCGAGGATCCTGATCAAATTATGGATTCTTAGCAATAGGTGATTCACATTCTACAAGTCCCCTGTGTATAATATGCGGCAACTGGCTGTTCAATGACACCATGAAACCTTCAAAATAGCTTCACCACATGAAGACCCTGCATTAAGGGCCGGGAATTTAGCTCAGTGGTGTTGCCGCCCACCTCGCAAGCGCAAGGACCTGAGTTTGATCCCTGGTACCAAAAAAAAGACCCTGCATTAAAAGACAAATCTTTGGAGTTTTTCAAAAGAAAAAAAACACGAATACAAAAAACAAAAGCAACTATCAAAGGCTACCACTTCATTAAATGTGTCTTCTCTGAGAGCATCATTCTTAGTGGCTAACTGCATTGCTAAAGCTAAGAAGCCCTTTGCTATTGATGAAGAGTTGACCCTGCCTGCTAAGGACATTTACTGTGAACTCTTAGAAGAGGTGCAATTTAAAAAGGTGGCACATGTTCTCCTTTCAGCTAGTCCCATAATGAGATGAACTAATGAAATAGCAGAGGATACTGAGGCATAATTGTTAGAGAGGATTAATGAGTGACCAATGGTAACCATGTTGCCAACAAGGCAACAATGATTGTTTTTATGCTGTATAACTTTCAGGAAGACATGCATAGGGATGTGTTATATACACTTTTGTTGCCAACCAATACCACAACTGCAGAACTATTCAAGTCTTTGAATAATTACATATCAGGAAAATTGATTTGGTCATTTTATATTTGTATATGCATGGATGGCTCTCATGATTGGATAGCTTTCTGGTTTCTTTACTTGGGTCAAAGAGGTCACTTCTGAATGTGAGTCCATGCATTATGTCATCCATAAAGAATTGCTGACTAGCCAAAAAATCTTACCTAAACTTAACAAAAATCTGCCCCCCCACTTCGGTACAGGGATCGTAACTCAGGACCTTGCACTTGAAAAGCAGGCACAGTGTCACTGAGCTAAATCCAAGGCCCCCAACTTAACCAAATTTTGCAGGATGTGATTAAAATTATCAACCACATTAAAGAACACACGTTAACATCTGTTCGTGTAGCTCTGTGAGGAGATGGGCACAGAACACACGTCTTTTCTTATACACAGAAATAAGATGGCTTTCTGAAGGTAGATCACTGGCTAGTTTGAGTTATGAGTTATTCCAGAAAAAAAGTTACAACTGGCAGTGAATTTCAGTGACACAGAATGGGTTGTAAAGCTTATTTATTTTTTAACTTTATTTTTATTTATTTATTTAGTGGTACCAGGGATGGAACTCAGGATCTTGCACTTGCGAGGCAGTTGGTGGTACCACTTACTTATGTGGTATCCCGCCCATGCTTACTTATGTGATACACTCAACCAGCTCAATGAATTCAATCTGTCACTTCAGGGGAATACAACTATGCTTAAATTGGCAAATAAAGTGGCTGCATTCAAAGCCAAAATGGAATTTTGGGGGCATCAAGTGAACTGGGAATTTTGACATGTCTCAAACATTAGCAGAGACTTTAAAAGAGACTG